CAAGCCAAACCTTGTCAAAGTGATGTATAATTCTGAACAAAACAACCTCACAGACGACTGCTGTAGCTCCTCTCTGGGTTTAAACACTCAGATGTGTTGTTTAGGCCCTTTAAAAACACAATAAATGCTAAAGGTAAAAGCACACACTGTTAAAAATGTCTATTTGTTCTACCTACAAAACAGGGTTGCAAACAACACTTTCTACTAGGTTTTATATATGTTTTTAATCAGCTACATCTGCGCCCACATCAGACAATTCTTCTGTCAATAAGAAGAAGCGGGCAGAGTTCATCATCTCTTTTTCAAAAAAGACATAGAGGTGTGCCTGACTGAACCGTGAGCTTCCCATTTTTGAAAGCAGGATTTATTTATATGTGTTTTGATGGACTGTTCTTATCAGAGTGAGAAGCTCCTGCATATTAAATTTAGTTTTTTTTGCTTTAATAAGGTTTAAGTGTCTTCTAAACAAAAACTGAAAGAAGGAAACAACGGCTGTCTTGGTTGTGTCCTCACAGTTCAAATGCCTTCAGCACCACTGTCTCTTGTCATATCATGTCTTCTGCTTACATGCAATAAGATACAAGAGAAAACAATCAAAATATCTTTCAAAAACATTTAACTTAACACATACAGTGCCTTGTGAAAGTATTCGGCCCCCTTGAACTTTGCGACCTTTTGCCACATTTCAGGCTTCAAACATAAAGATATAAAACTGTAATTTTTTGTGAAGAATCAACAACAAGTGGGACACAATCATGAAGTGGAACGAAATTTATTGGACTGCAGACAGCACCGGCACCGTAGGTGGCTCTGGCAGCACGAAGCAGCCCTGTGCAGTGAAAAAGGTGGATCTGGTTCATGTTTTGTGGCACCGGACAGTAACATCATCCAGCAAAGGTGCTGCAAATCACATATGAGGGACGATCGCCACATGAAGAAGACTCTTTTCTTTGCCATGTTAGCATGAGCATTCACTGCTATTCACTCTCAGATTTGGGCCACAGTTAAAAACATGCCATCATGTGTCTTCATTAGTTAGGGTTGCAGCACAACTAACCAAACTCACAGGCTGGAAATGTGAATTACGCCACTCACATTGACTCATCACAACACACCTGCAAACCTAAACCTAACCCTAACCCCCCCCCCACTTGGCCAATGCAGCCGCTTGTGCATTTTACTGCAGTCGGCCTGAACACCCACTAATAACTAGATAAAACTACACCTGTTAAAAAGTCCTTGAAAAAAAATCCTAATTACTTTACATGTCAGAAAAGAAACAAGAACATTTGTACAAAACAATGTCTTAGTTGACTAAAACATCCACAGAGAATTCAAGTAATATTTAGCAAAATGTAAGAATGGACTTAGTTATTAAAACAAAAAGTGCAGAGAATTTTTTTTTTTAATGAACAGCAATGCTGCTATGAAAACGTACCCTGCTTCAGACCTGTGAGGCTGTGCAATTTGATGAAAGTCTTCATCTGTATTTACACAGTGTATGAGTGTTTTGATTGAGAACAGGCCGGTCAGCAATGTCTTGGTCTGCCCACAGAGCCACACAGCACCAGCGGTTTTTTGGCTCTGACAAGAGAAATCGAGAGGATTGTGTGCTCCGCCTGCCAACACAGTCTTTTGATCGGAGGCCAGGTAATATCACACAATCTAATCCCACTATCTCTGTCTGTGCTTAATTCCAGTTCTCTTCCTGTCCTCCCCTCTTACCAGACTGTTATCAGTTGGAAGGATAATTAAGCCTTGTGGGATGGCTGTAGGCTTTGCTCTTCTAAGTTGTCAAAAGTTAGAGGGAGGGAGATCAAACGCTTTGAAACACAAGTGAAAAAAAAAAGCTAACATACCGGAGATAACAGAAGTATTGCTGAGGTTGCTCGCTTTGTTTTGACCCTCATCTTGCACTTCGAGATAAAAGTTCACACAGACTCTGTGCACAGTCTGAAGCCTTTTAAACCAGTCTACAACAGGCAGGAAGACACGCTGGATTTCCACATTAAAATGCATTCAAATCTGAGCTTAGTAGTTAAATGATTAGTGGATCAATCTATTACTCAGTTACAGAAAATTATTAAAGAACCATTTTGATAACTGCAGAAGCAAAAATGCTAAATTGTGGCTTCTTAAATGTGAGGATTTGCCGCTTTTGTCAGATTTTTATTACTGTAAACAGAATACTGTCAGACGAAGAACACAACAAATCTGAAGACATCGTTACTTTTCACTGTTTTCTGACTTTTTACAGACTGAACAGTTCATAAGATATTATAAGGTAAGAAGAAGCAGCCCCACTCATTCAGTATCTCTAAAATATAGATGATCCTGTAAGTCAACAAAGCTGAACAGGCAGGAATCCACAAACTTCAGCCGCTGCCAAAGCAACCACTGATAATGAACCAAGACTTTTAGACAGGACTAAGAACTGGCATGTCATAGTTGGCTGATCACCTACTACAGCTGCAGTCATGAATAACAGGGACAGAAAAATGTCACAGTCAAAATGTTAAGTCAACTTAGAACAGCAATCTCTTCAAAAATATTAAACCAGTTGCTCTTAACAAGTACTACCGCAGCGTTTACGCCAAAAACAACTGGCTAACATGAATACACTGTCAGGCAGAATGAGTGAAGTGAAATCCCACAAAAAAACCTAAATCTACATCCATCTACTTTCCAACCTCCCTACTCTTTCTGTGACATTCAGCCCTACCTGCTTCCTAAAGAAAACACATCTCTAAAAATAGTTTACAAATATTTACATTTTTAAAAAAGGTTCTGCAATTTTCTGAAACGGGTGGACAATGTAACTTTCACAAATGTTGCTAAAACTGTTTTTAGTATTGTGAGGACCAGGTGTGGATTAATACACAAAAGAGTCAAAGCTAAGATGAACAGTAGAATAAATGAAGGTGGGCTATTTCTATTTTTGTAGGTACTTCAGAAAATAAGTGTTTTTTTACCCTTGGCTACCTCATGCACTGGACCACAAGTGGCTCATCATTTTGTGCCTCCTCTTGGAACGGAGCTCTTCATGTGTGGCTAAATAATAAAGAGTGAGAAATGGCCTGAGATGAGATCATGCCACCAAAGAAAGACAGATAGGCAGCTGTTATTTCCATCCATCCATCCATCCATCCATTTTCCTCCGCTTATCCGGGACCGGGTCGTGAGGGCAGCTGTTATTTCCTATGAGGATTAATCAGGAATGGTCTGACATAGATCACAACAAGCCTGAGCACATCAGCTGGGAGGAAGCTGCAGTCAGGACTAAACCTGTCTGTAAATTAGCGATAACTGAGAAACCAACTTGGTGGAAAGTGCAGTTGCAGATATGAAGCTACATTTTATCAAAGTAAAAAAACAAAATGTGAAGAGAAAAAGTTGTCATGCTTTACTTGCTTGCTCTTCTGTATAGAGCTTAAACTGCATCATAACAAAGGCAGAGAGACCTGCCATTAAAAGCCTCAACAGACCAGAATGCAATGCATGCGTACGAATAGGTAATATTTGTATCATCAGGTAATATAGGATTTTCTTCTCCCTGTTACTTTTCAGTCAAGTTATGTACATTATTTTCATACAGATTCGATGTCATATCTTGTTTACATTTGGTGCTGGAAGTGTATCCTGTATGAATGAACTGGTATCATGTGTGACATCCTCATGGTGGCTGTTTTGTGATTTCAAAAAAGCATCCTCCCAACCTGTGAAACCTACTGTGTCATCACCTAGGTGTAAATCTAACTTAAACATGGACACTTTATGGAGAAACATCAGAGACTGATGAGAGAAGGTGAAATTTTAATCTCTTGATATTAACACAGAATCCTTCTACTTTCTTTTTTTCAGGGTACTCAAAGGTCAAGATCAGACCGTGGAGCAATCAGATATTGATTAGAATTCTTACTACAGGGCACGTCAGTACAGCAGATGTCAACACAGTTTGTTCTGTAAACACACAGCACAGCCTCTGCACTGACTGCATTTTCTCTATAAGTATCAATTAAAGTTTATTTATGTTTAAACATCTCTCTTGTAGCTGTGATTTTTGCTGCTTAATAACACAGTTTGGATCATGCTGTCCTGAGCCAGGAGCAGCTGGTCAGATGGATCTTTAATGCACACGTACACTGGGGTCTCTCCACAGCAGATCAGTGTTCAAAACCATGGGAAACTTTTTAATAGGTAAGGCTGTTGTCATGGATGTATTACTGAACGGGCCGAAAGGGCACAGGCCCGGGGGCCCAAGACGTCGGGGGGCCTGGGCCAGAGCTTCTGTATAAAGTGACAGGTAATATTTCTTGTTTGAAAATCACAGAACTCAGAGACTACAAATAGAAGCAAGTCAATGAAAAGTGGATTCAACAAGACCACGGAGGGTTACAAAATTACCACAAAGAGATGCAAATCCACCCCAGAGACATATATAATGCAAAACTACCAAAAAGAGACAAAACAATCACAAAAAGATTCAGTACTATCATAAAGAGATGCAGAACTGCTATAAAGATGCACAAAACAACTAATGGTTCTATATAGAAACGGTGGGGGCCTATTTTCTCTGTCCATGGTTGTTGAACTATTATTTGTGTGTAATATTCTGTAACCTTGCTTTTGGGGTGTGTTTTAGGTGTTTTCTAAAAAGGTGTTTGACCCGTCAAGACAGAATCACAGTAGATCAAAAGTCAATAAAGAGATTCTGTCCAGTCGGGTGACTAAATGAATCTCTGCTTCTCTTCCTTTGCACTTGTTCTGATGCATAACTCGTCATTTTAACACAATACGTAGCTTCTTCACACAATTAAAGCTGAGAAGTGTCACATTTTTGTAAAAGTCACCATACAGCTGCTCTGGTGAAAAGAGACATTAGTGATCAAATATATTATCTCAACTAATTTGACAAAACATGTGTCACATTCCTAATACTGAAGCATTTTTAACACCATCCTAAAAACAAACTACGAGCTCTGACAATCAGAGACTCTCACCTGCCTGCTGAGGAGAACAGGTCCTGTGTTGTCTGTGGGAAGGTTTCCTCTGGTTGCCCTGTGGACTGGCATGGATCTTTAAACATCAAATAAGATGGCCTGAAAAGAAAACGCAACAGAAAGAGCAAAGAAAAACAATATACGATGACGCATTTGTTTTATAATTCAAAAGACTGTAATGCATTTTCACCCACACATCCTCAAATGAACTGTCTGGCCATTTGCAGCAAAGGACTGTGTGTTCAGTGAGACTGAAGCATCAGACTCTCACAAACAGAGCATCCTCTAATGAAAACGCTCTTTTCCAAAACACTACATCTGTGTTTGCACAGACAAAAAAAAACCAGGCTCATTATCAATGTCTCTAAAACAGTGTTACCTTGTTAATTCCTGTTTTGAGCTACATTCTCTCATTTAAAACATACAGATACACTTGAGTGTGTAGAAAATGTTATTTTACATTGAGGCTTACAACATATGAATATTTTACATTTTTATTCACTAAGAAACTGTACAGACCACCTAAACACTCCCTGCCCATATCCAAATCTGCATTTGAATATTTCCATTGCATATATTTAGACATTACCTTTGAGTTTCCATCCCTTCTATCAGTTATTTTTCTAAATCTAATTTTAACCAATATTCTTCTTATTATTCTTTTTTGCACACAGCCTCAAGATTGTGCCACCATGCATCACACTGCACATATTGTGTTAACGTTTGACAAGACTGTATCTTGATTTGATTTTATTTGGTGCTGCCAGTCATTGTTTTTTAATAAAGTATGCATACAAGAGACAAAATATAAAATAACTCCATATACAGTGATCTCCATTATTAAACTGCATAAGAAATATAATTGCGCTTTACAGTAATACGGGACCTGAAGATACTCTTAAGTCTTTAAATGCTTAAATATACTATATTTAAGTGCTGTTAATTGTTCTAACATACACTTTTTATGCTGTTCAATAAGTTAGAAAGATTCTGAAAACTAAGAGAGGAAATAGTTGTTGAGCGTTGACACTGAGTGACCTGTAGAAAATCTAAAGTCTAATTTGTCAAACGCAGCATCTGTTTTTGGAGCCAAAGCCACGCTTGGATTTCCACTTGGATTTGATGTAACTAACATCTTATGCTGTGTGTTCTGCTCCCTCTTAATACAAGATGCTAAATTGCAGGAGTGAGAGAGAGTCCAGTTCTTGCGAGGCTGCAGCCTTGATTAAAAGAAAATCCGTGTGCGAGCAGATGGCTGTGTAGACTCTGCTTGCTTGTTTAAAAGTAGGCAGTCCACCCACCTTCCATATTTTTCACACTTTATTTAGTCAAAGGGAAAGCTGAAAAGGGGACAGCCTAGTCAAGGCCAAAAAACAAGAAAACACACGGGCAATTGTTCCAATATTGATGGGTATTTTCAGAGATCTGACGTTCTTTTTGACCAGTTTTTAAACTGACTTATTCATATACAGTAACTGTGAATGTGAACGCTGCCTTTTGTCTGGGCTTCTCATTACTAACTAGGAAGTACATAACAGTTTTGCCAGTTGGAAGACACACCTGAAAATTTTATATATCCTAGAACGTGATTCGTTTGGAGGTTAACTAACAAGAAATTTGATCAGCGCTTACTCTGCAACACTGTTTCATCCTTCTACTTTGATTTGGCTAAAAATGTTTTAAAGAAAATATAACTGTAATAAATAAACAAAGGATTGCATGGAGGAGGCTGGACTGGATTGTACAGAATGTAGGACTTTAACATCAGAGGCAGGATTTGCATAGTGAGTATAACACTTTGGTTTGGGAAACACTGTGACTGTGCTTTAATAGTGAAAAAATATACACGTTGTGTCTTGTTCCTCAAGTCACTGTTGATGTTTTTGCCAATTTAAAGACCACTTTAACGTGTAACAACCAATTTAACATCAGCTAACAATCCTGTCTTTGCTGACATCCTCTGGCTTAACTTATCACTTTGCTACAGTGGTGCAGAAGTGTAGACTGTATAAAATATGGACACCATAACAGCTCCCAAAAGTGAAGCCATAGCCAGTCAATCGCCCCCTGGTGGCTGGTTGCAGTATAGGTCCTAAATCCTGTTCCTTCCATGTTAGCCGATGGAACATGAGCTAAATGGACGTTGTGATGCTTTGTCCATATTTTACATACAGTCTATGCAGGTACACATCAATGTCACTATTGGGTGCAATAAGCACACTTTTGGCCACATCCAACGATCACACACATCACTGATGCTGGGTGTGATCAGAAGTGCAACACACTTAAAAATTTCACCCAGAGAGCATAGTGAAATGCTGCTTTAGAGCCGAACATTAGGTTACCACGATTTCTCCTGGTGGCTGACAATGAACTGTGGCATCCCCGATCAAATGCCATTTTATATGTCTACTATCAAGATAGTAATAAAGGTACAGTATTAAAATACCCAAAATATGTTGCTACAGTTGTATAGTGTTGGAAAATAAATGCAGCACAATGGCAGTAAATGTTCTCCACATACTGCATATTAAGAATGAATAGCAATACCATCCATTATCTATACCGCTTATTCCTGAATAGGGTTGTGGGGGGGCTGGAGCCAATCCCAGCTGACATATCATATTTGATATGAATTGGCCACAAAAAAACGTGATAGCATGTAAAGCCTGATTCCTGTTTATAACTAGATGATCTGAATCTGTAGATGTAAGCAATGTGGCTTATTTTCCTTGCCATCGTCAAATCTGCACAATCTCTGGGTGAGAGTTTTTGAGGTAGGTTCATACGAAATCACACTTCAGTGGCTTCTGCACACTCTAAAATTTTTATCTGTCCAATTAAGTTCTGTGCTTGCTCAATAGTTTTAAAACAGTTCTTGCTCACTGGTTATTGCGCCTGCCTCTGCACAGGTTGTTAAATTTGTTTACTAGCTGTATTGCATCCCACTCACATTGTTTCTGCCTGTTTATTGATCCTTGAACACGAGCTATTTCACCCAGCTGTGATACTGAAACTTTAATATCATGTCTTGAATTTAAAGAAGGCGATAAAGGCAGCACTAAGAAGCACTACGCTGAATTTAAAAACACACCATATGCTGAGACACCTTCACTTTCCAAGAAGAAGCACATGCAGGTCAATTCAGGTAAAAGCCATTTTCCTTTATTGATTCCCTGTATTAAATCTATAGTCATCAGAACAGAAGGGATGCATGATAAAGAGAAGCAGACAAATCGCTGAAGAGGAATTTTGAGCTGCAAGACAACAAGGGTGTAGAGAAAAGGGCTGATGATCAATAACAGGGAGATGACCCGAATATTTTGTACATTCAGTCATGGTCTGTGCTGAGGATGATTCTGTAGCCGGCCAACAAAGATAAAAATATCCTCTGGAGCTATCCTTTACAGAGTGATGGAGGTCCTCGCTAAGAGTAAATCTAGCTTGCAATAAATGTAATTTCTAATGTTAAGGCATCCATTAATTCTTGTCCAGCCCCTCAGCCTGTAGTAGTTTTGATAGGGGTCATGAGGACAGCTAACATTAATAACAGCTGTCATATTACAAGTGGATGTATTTGGGCGACAGTGTCTTGTTGGAAACTAATGATACCATTAGGTGGCATTACAGGTCAAACCCCACACAAACACACCTGCGCTGACAGAGAGCGACAGTAAATCACTCGACTGCAGCCGTGAGATGAAGGCAGGTTATCCTCACGTTGCTGAGGGGATGGAGATTTGTGTCACAAGCTGATCTGCAGTTTACCAGCTTGCATCATGATGAAAGCTGTGACAGAGCACAGCTGTCACTTAGACGGGCTGAACCTCGAACTGCAACTCATCACCTGCCTTCTACTGTACATTTTCAACAGCCACAGACCACACACCTCGGTCATCATACAGCTGAGGATCCAGTTCCCCGTTCATCCTGACATACAGGAAAACCAAAGCAACAAACAAACAAACAAAAAAAAAGCTGTGTAAAATCTGACAAGCAGCCAGCACTTATTGTGCAGGATTATCTTTATTTCCCCGCTCTCATATGAATGACTATAATCGCTGCTGCTGTTACCCTCCTAATCCCTCAAGCAGAGATTTGACTCATCTCCATCTGATTCTGTTCCAGCCTTTGACTCCAATGAGCTTGCCTGTCAATGCAGAGAAGCTAAATTCTCCTCCTGCTAGCATGCCTTCCACACTTTACACAGTCCTGCTGTACAGCCTGCGTGAGCGCAAACTACCCTTTGACTGAGAGGAGAAAAGTGGGTTGAGGGGGAAATGAGCAGGGGAGGCAAACTGAAAAAGGCTCAAAGTCTGTAGAAGTTTGTTTCTCCTGCCATGACACAGAAAAGAAAACACAAATAAATAAGAAACTGTGACAAATTTACCCAGAGATATTCAGACTGAGCTCACCTGTCCACAGCATGCAAGCAGATCTGTGGCTTTTTGCCGCCGCTCTGTGCCGATCCACTCACCTAAATCACTTCCTTGACTCACGCAGATGGAAGATAACCGGCTCTCAGAGAAAGTGGAATAAACACCCGTTGCAAAAACAAGCAGGGTGGTTGATATTGCTGCAGCGCTGCTATCTCTCATTTCTCCTCCTGTCTCCTCCTTACATTGATCTCTCTCTCTCTCTCTGTCTATCCAGCAGTGCCCCGCTCTCTCTCCATCTCTGCCACCCCCTCACTCTCTTCCACAAGGTGTCACAAACAGTGTGTCTGCACCCACTGCCTCTTATTGGCTCTCACTTCTCTCTCCCCCTCCCTCTACCCCCACCACCTCTCTCCCTCTCTCTCTCTCTTCGGATTGTCTGCCTTAAAGAGGAAACACATCCCACCACAGCTGCACAATTCAGTCCACATTTAACCAGCTACACCTAGAAGCACTGATCTGTATAATACAACACATAAATGCTTTCAGGGCCCTTTTGTACAGCTCTCAATTCACACTGAAGCCCCTGTACAATCTCTGTAGGATAAAACACAATTGCACTAATTACCAATAGGACTTTACTTATACCAAAAATCCAAAAAGCAAGTAGTAGATGAATCACAACATCTGCTTTGCAAAATCAATGGAGCTGATATTTAAGTTTTAGAAGCAAAAGAAAACTGTCCTTGTATATTTACTGCTATCAAACCCCAAACCACATCTGAGCAGGGCTGTGTCATCTTTCACACTAAAACATGAGGCCAGCGATTTCAGATTTACCCACTCTGGAGAGACCATGTTCCATTTTAGCTTTACGCTGTGGAAAAACAGTCTAGCCTAAGGGATCTGTATGTCTCAAATAAAATGAACAGCATATGGAAACAGCCTTATCCTAGTCCGCTGTGATGTTTTTGTAATGTTCTGAAGCACTCTGGCATCCAAAGAGAAAAAGGAAGAGGAAAAATTAATCCTTAATAGTATCCAGAGAGGCTCTTTTGGAAGTAAGTTCATAAGGCTCAATAATCTGTTATCAATCCTGCTGATGGCAACAATTAAACCTCAACAGTAGGTGACTCCCCCTCATCTCTCACGCAACATATGGATTCACCTTGAGCGGAGATGGAGCAAACAAGAAAGGCACAATAGCTCCACAAGGCCAATTGTACAGAGATTCCTGTCATGAAAATAATGAGATTTAACGTTTTCACTCAAATTTAATCCTGTCTCAGCCCACATGCACACAGAAATCCCTCAGCCTTTTTAATTTTGTCTTCATTATCAGCACTACTCAATGTGGTTTTGAACTTTTTTACATGTAGCAGCAGCAGGAAAATGTATAAGATGACATTTAAAAGTGAAATTGTACTGCACTGTATAAGAGGCAAAAATCTAAATTAAAGCAGAACATGAGAGTCTGTGAATTTTGAGTGGATGTAGCCTTTAATGATGAGTTCTGTATCAAAAGAGGGCCAGGAGTCAAGTTGCCAATTTGAAATTATAATGAGCCGTCAAGCCCCTTAAAATGTAGATTACATATATTCTCGTTCATGTTCTAAGGTTCATGTTCTCCTGTGATATTAGTTCAAATTCGGCATGAACAAAACAGATTAATGGCAGAGAGGTGCAGTGCTTGTGCTGAAGGCGTCTCTCAGTATTGTCATGTATAGGCTGCAGCTGTTTTCAAATGCAGGCATCCTAAATCATTTAGATCACACCATGTAATGCCATACGTCAACACAGAGTCCCTGCTGTTATGATACTCCTGTAAGCATTAGCCTGTTTCAAGTGTAGCAGCGTCGACATGAAGAGGAAATTCTGGAACATCTTTACTGCTCTTAATGGGATCCACAGCATCTGTCACAATCAGGAATCATCTTATTTCCCTTCTACTTAGTTTTTACTTGTGAGTTTTATATGGCTCTCTGTGTGCTGGCCTGTTTATCAGACTCAAAAGCAAGCAATTTAACTTGGTTGAAATTTGGTGGACACATTTTCCTTGCTGGAGACCCTGAGCTAAATCTGTGATTTGCACCATTATAGCCTTTTTACTGCTTGGTCTTGAGAGATGTATTTATGTACTTCTCAGTCTGTGAACAGGTTTTTATCCATGTTCCTTTTTTCCTGGAAAAAAATAAAACCTGGAGAACAGAGACAACAAACAAACAGTGTATGTGTTGGAGGAAGCTGGTGCTTTAACACGCCTTTATAAACACTGTTATAAAATAATCGTTGTACAGTTATTTTACTAGCTGATCATTTTTTCTGTGTAAAAGCACAGTTACTTACATTGTTATCAGTGTTTGGAGTATTCACATGAGGTTTTGTGGGATTTGATAGTAGTAGGTTTGCACATTTATAGAAGGACTGTACAGTGATATCTGTACAACTGTCCCCAGAGAATTAATGCTATTTGTGATCCTTTCATTTTTCTACTAGCTCCATCACCAGGCCATAATTTCTCCACTACTTTGGTTTATGTTTGCAAAACCAATCAGCAAAATAACCTCAGTTATAATGTGTTTAGAGCTAATTAGCAATTGTTAGCATGCTTCAGTGACCAGCAGACCTATCGACGCCTTGATATCCTCCACACGCCTGATTAAACCATTATTTACTGTATTTTGTCTTGGGAAGTTGGCTATTGAATGACATTTCAACAATCTTCTCTCAGAAGTGACTTCATTAAGGGCAAACGTTCCTGTCAGCTTCTCTGGGCAGCAAATACCCTGGAATCATTAGCAGCCAATGATGACGGCTGACAATCAAGTGACTATTGATACAATGAGTGAATACAATCATAGATCTGGGGTTTGGTGTGTGCTTTGGAGAGACAAGCAAAACTAATTCATGGATAAATGACAAAATCAATAAAAAATTGATGAGGAGATGCAAAGTCCTGCTCAAAGACATCCACAGGTGACCGGTCACTTGGCTTTGCGCCCCATGACCTTCTCTCTGCCATATGAAAATGGTTTTCCTGCCTGTGAAATCAGCTGTGAATGTGTCAGAACAAGTCTTAATTATCTGTTAAAAGTTCAAGTTGCTCTGAGAGCAATTTGACATCAACAGATGACACTTTAGACTATCACAAATACAGAAGTAAGAGGAGGAGTTTGAGGAGAGACAGAGTGAAGTTTCTTAAGCAGCTTGACAAAGCCTCGTCTTGTCTAGCTGATAACACATGCAAATTACTATCTTCTCCATCTGGGACGTACTAGAAAGAGGATCTCATCAGATCTAGCTGCCAAACAAAGTTAGAGCTATGACAACTTGGGGCATGACAAGCCTCGCAGCCAGATAGTGAATGAATAATAGCCACAGTTACAAACATGAGTGGCCAAGTCTAATGTGATGTTCTGGTCTGAGTCATGTCACTGACAAGTGAATCAGAGTTTTAAACATCTCAGACATGCTTATAAAAAAACTGTACAATGCATTGTTAAAGAGCAAATCAGTGTTCTCGAGCCTATGTGACTTGTCACCCCTTAAAAAAGCATCAGTTGGGGCTTCAGACCAAATGTTTTAGAAATGAAAACTCCCCAATATTAGTTGAGATTAGTTGTTTAAATTGTTAGATTTGTGTAACAGAACAGCTTCTTCTAATGTCTGAGCTCACTAATCACTCCACGACCCCTCAGATTTACCTTGTGAACATTCGAGGTGACCCAGTCCCACTGTCGTCAGTTTAAACTGCCCGGTTACAACATAAATTAGCTGCTTACACACCAGTACATCAATATTAACAATCCAACAAAATAATACATCAATTTAAAGAGCCAATTTCTGCAGAATTTGTATTTTTAATATGTTAATCTTAGTAGATAATGCTTATGTATGTTTATTTATGGGAAGAAAGGTTTTACAACTTTTACTTGTTATACAGTATTTTTGTACTTGTGCTACTGGTTAAGGTTCTGAGTACCTACTCTATTGTAGATAAATGAAAATAGCATTAAATCAGAACCTGATGCAACAACTGATTAAAACCAGACCTTGAGGTATGCAATGAGAGTGATGATTGTGCAAGGTAAAAGAGCCAATATTGTCCCTCATCTCGTCCATACATCATGAGATTTCCCATCACAGAGGGAATGCAGTGAATCATGGTAACAGCAGTGAGACTTTTTCCTTCATCTTCAGCAACCGGCAGCACTTGACATCACCACCACGACCCAACCTCACCTCCATCCATTAGCTTGTCAGAAACTTTGAATTGGAATCGATTCCTCTTGCAGTAATCATTCATCTGACTTAATTATTTATTGTTGTGACAACACTTTTAGAGCTTTTGTGTTGGGTGTTCTGTTTGATTTTTTGGTGTAGAATTAGGATTCAGACTAAGGTTCCTCTGAAACCCTGGATACAGATCTGTCTGGAACAACAGCAAACAGGCAAAGTCTGCTGGTTACAACACATTTATTTTAGTGATTCATTATGTTCAATTTGCACCCACCCCCCCCCATACTGATTCATTAAGCATTAGTTGTTAGATTTTGCTCATCTGTCATTGTTGTAGCTGCTTCAGTTAACAAAGAGAGCCCAAATAAAAAGACTAAAGTGTGACAACTGAGTATGCAAGGCGACACATTTATGAGGCACCGTTTCCTCCAGAAGACTTCCATTTCTTTGTGGCTGACAGGCCATTGACGGGAAATATAATGCAGCACTTGATTATGAAGACACTCACGATAAAAACACAAAGTCCAACCCAACAAAAACAGCAGCTTTATGCTTACTGTGATGGGTTATGTCACTCAGAGGAAGTAATAATGGCAGCAAATGGCTGCTGCAGAATGGATGACAATGAGCTTTAATATCTCATGGCAAGAATAAAAAATGGTGCTGTAATCTAAATGACTGGCACAAAAGTAAACAAGGACACAGTGCCATGGAGGTGAAGCTATTCAGCAGCAGCGCTACAGAGTAGGAGGCAGAGTGAACAGTCCTGGATGAATGATGTCTGCAGACAATGCCACAGCAAGTATCCTCACCTACCTGCCTCCTGACACACTAACCTTGAGGCCCTGACTGAATGAATAGGTGGATGCACAAATGAATGAAGAATTTGAATGAGTTACTTTTTGGAAACAAGGGGTGCTTCAGCATCTAAAACACACAAGAACACTATTTTAAATGCTGGCAAACCTGCCACTTGCTGCCTATTTCTACCATTAGTGAACAGGCTGCACTGACAGCCTGAGCTCTTGACAGCTGGTGCAAATGCAAC